ACATTGGGTTGTATACATTGGGTTGTATTTGGTCAGGTTTGCGGGCTAGGTTCGGTCTCGGGGGGCTAGGGTTTGGTTTGGTTGGTTTTGTTTTGTTTTGTTTTGGTTGGGGTTGGGTTGGGGTTGGGTCGCCGCCGTCGCTTCGTCGTTCGTCGCCGTTGGGTTGGGTTGGGTTAGGTTTTGGGTAGGGTAGGGTAGGGTAGGGTAGCGTTGGGTCGGTCGGTCGATCGGGCGGCCTTGGGCCGCCTTCGTCGATCGCGCCGCCGTCGCTCCGTCGATCGTCGCCGTCGATCGCCCTTGTTTTTTTTATTTCGACTCCTCAGAAAATATTTTTTATGTGCCCTGTCGAGGGAGAGCTCTCACCTACGCCGGACCTCTCCCTCTGGAAACCACCAGCCGAGCCGACACAACAAATACAACTGTAATCTCGGACGAACGAGCGTCTCAATAGCATGGTACCATCAAAACCACCCAATGCACTACCGTACAGTATCATACCCAACACTCCCTAATGATCTCCAAAGACTCCACCCGTAAAACAAGGATCACACCGCACGTCTCACACTAACTCCCTGGTGTACAGCACTCGGGTTTGCCATTACCGCGTGTGAGAAATATACCTTTCTCCTAGGTCGTGCTAGGTTAACCTTGACTTTCGAGTATACATCCGCTCAAGCCAGATCGAGGCATAGACTCGTTGTGTCTCAACGCCTAACTAGCGATGTTTTTCTTTGTACAAGGCTAGAATGTATATTACCCTTACACAAGTATTGTTCCTGTTGTTGTTTTGTCATGTCATGACATTCAAAACGGTGTTGATCTCTCTGCATCACCTCTACCGTCCGTACTAGTCCACCTGATGCGTCACGCTTTTCGTGGCAAAGGCTATCCCCCCGAACTACGTATACCAAAAAAAGTAATCAAATAAAGGCTCAATGTATTTCAAGACAAACAAACGCGATAAAGCGATAAAACGAAGGCATTCCTATGTCGCAAGCACCGTGTCCGTAGTGCAAATAATCGAGTAAAGACTCATGAATTTCAAGACAAACGCGATAAAACGAAGGCATTCCTATGTCGCAAGCACCGTGTCCGTAGTGCCAGAAGTCGTTGCTCGTGCCGATACCTAATCGTTTTCCTGCAACTGATGTTGTGCAGCATGAGGAGATTGATTACGCCCGTTCTTGGTAACTCCCCTCGGGTCAAGGTGGGGCTGCGGCGTCGGCCTGGCGCTTGGCCACCAAGAGATTCCTGCAACCAAAGTACCAAACGAAGTAAACGGTTTGTTGGGAGTTGCACTAGGCTACTGCTGCGGGTGTGTCTACACATATGTCCATCGGTTTGTGATACTTCAGGAATCTGTCAGGCCTCAGAAACGGATTGACAAAAACTTAAGCAGTTTTGCAGCACCAACGGCCTCTCTGTTGGGGCGCCGACGAGCGTACGTATCAGAGTGGGCGAGGAAGCTTTGGGAAAGGCATTGGTAGATGCCAAAGAGCATGAATAATCACAAGCCTGTAACGTCGGAGAGAGGGAAAACGAAACACCACCTTAGCTTTCATATTTGTTCTCCATTTATGAACCCCACACAGAACAACTCGGCGCATTAATCACTTCGCAAAGTGAGGCCCCTTGATGCATGTGAACAGATGCACCCAAGACGATACGGAAGAAAACTGACTTTGGAGAAGGCGAAAAACCTACCATCTACACCAGCGGGAGGTCGATCTACCTGTTTGTCTCTTCAGTGCGAGATTTCTCACCTGACGAGATCAACGACTTCGTCGACTGGAGGTTCGTAAAAAAATGAGCATGTGTCATTCCACTGATTCCCACCCGGGTGCCTGGCGTAGATATGCTGGAGCTGCGCTCGTGGTGTTGAAAAGAACACGAAAAGCGCCGTTGTACCACCGTCAGCGAGATGCTGCGAAATGCATATCCCATTTGTTTTTGTTTCGACTCCTCAGAAAATATTTTTTATGTGCCCTGTTGAGGGAGAGCTCTCACCTACGCCGGACCTCTCCCTCTGGAAACCACCAGCCGAGCCGACACAACAAATACAACTGTAATCTCGGACGAACGAGCGTCTCAATAGCATGGTACCATCAAAACCACCCAATGCACTACCGTACAGTATCATACCCAACACTCCCTAATGATCTCCAAAGACTCCACCCGTAAAACAAGGATCACACCGCACGTCTCACACTAACTCCCTGGTGTACAGCACTCGGGTTTGCCATTACCGCGTGTGAGAAATAT